AGCCACTGATGCCATGGTGTTGTCCCCACAGTGACTTCGATTCCCTGAATGAAGAGGATGTGGTCCAGAACAACCAGCTGGCGTTCGACGTGGCTGAGCAGGAGTTTGGGATCCCCCCAGTGACCACGGGGAAGGATCTGGGGTTGGCTGGGGAGCCCGACAAGCTGAGCATGGTGCTGTACCTGTCCAAGTTCTACGAGCTGTTCCGGGGCACCCCTCTGCGGGCAGTAGGTGAGCAAAGGAACCCCTCAGCTCTGCCAAGYGTGGGGAGGGACCCTGCATCCAGCCAGGCTGCTGATGGGCACCACTGTGAGCCAGGAGCCTGTGCCAGCTGAGCCCTCTGGCAYGCCTGTGGGCAATAGGGACCTTGGGCTTACAGGAAAGAGGGAGACTGGATTGCAGACAGAGGTTTTGTGGCTCCGTGGTGGTTTCAGGGAATAGGAGAGCTGGATAACTGCTGCCTGACATCATGAAGGTTGTGTGTCACATTGTTTGCAGGATCCCCTGGAAAGGATGACTGCACACAGCACATTCATGYTTGTGGGTTTCTCTTTCTTYTTTTAAAAAAGTCACCCTACATTGTATGTGTTTACTTTTGTTTGCCTGTTCTTATACATAATTGCAATCAGCACTCAACTGGAAAGCTTTGGCTTAATAACAATAATTTAAAAACAAATATAAGTRAATATCCTAAGTGCTTGTTTTTTGWACAGATGCTACTGAGAAGCAAAATGGAGAAAATAACGACCTCGGTTCAGCAAAATCATCAAATTTCATCTTTAACAATTATATCAATTTAACTTTACCAAGAAAACGAGTGCCAAAGGTAAGTTCTGAAGGAATACTTGCTTTGGCTTGTTGTTTGTTTTTTTTTTCCCCCAAAAAAGATGAAAGTAAACTTTCCGTCTGAGAAACAAGGGGTTCATGTACAGCCATTCTGTTATATAGCAATTTAAATAATCAGAGATATGCTAGACTGCWTATTGATTGTGAGGGAGCAGTGATYTGTACAGTTTGTGGATGCTGCCAAGGTTCTGAAGGGAAGCTTTGCAACTCCTGTGGAAGAACCCTGCAATGGTAACAAACAGTGGGCAGGTTGATCAGCAGCTCTAGGATAACAATCTCTTAGTCATGCCCATACACTTTTTTCTCTTGGTCACTTATTAATGAAAACTTACTGACAGGCCCTGTTATGTCCCTGCATTATAATAAATTCCATGCCTGTACATGCTGTGATTAAAGTCTCCAGAGCCTTGGAGCATTACAGAGGCCTGAGTTAGTACATGTGCATGTCTCCTGCATTTCTCGATATTTTCATGTATATTCTATTTAAATTGGAGCTGGGGTGGCTGGAGCTGCTGTGGCTGGAGCTGTCCTGGCAGCTGTGCTGAGTGGATCATGTTTTCCATTCTCCTCTGAGAGAGGAACTGAGATTTCCTGTGCTCCAGACTAATAAATGAATGGAGGTGTTTACACAATGCAGGGCGCAGCCCTTTTGGAGTCTTGCTCACAATKAAATTGCTTTGTCTTGCCCTGCTTTGTCAGTGAGGTAATGAGAGTCCTTTGTGTCAGCTTTGAGGCTGTTTGCCCCATTCACTCAGGCAGATTCTGCTTTCATGTGGCACGGGTGTTATACAGAATGCATTGTGCTGTTCTGTGTTCACCCTTTCTGGGACTGTAGGTGCTGCAAAGCTGGGATAAACTGAACTGCTGCTTGGAACACAATGCAGCAAAGCACACAAAGRAATCAAAATATTGTATCTGATTCTTTTGGTGTTTGCCTGGAAGTTGTTTGGGATTACTTGTATTCACCACACAATGATTTATTACAAACAGGCAATAAGTGAAAAGGAAGCCTGCATTCTTTGATCTTTCTGTCTTTATTCCTTTTTGGGTTTTACAGCATGGGCAAGTGCAAATAAGTGGAATCTATTTTATTGTTCATAAATTATCACTGTATCAAATCTTCCCGACTATATAAGAAGTGATAAAAATTTCAAAGCAATGACTATTTTTCAAGTTTGTGCAGACAGAGTATGAAGTATTACTGATTTGTGTAATCTCTGGTTGAGTAAAATAATTTAGTATGTGCATAGCTTGAGCAAAAAGGAGCCAGTTTGGTTGCTCAAGTACTGTAATGTTCCCCCATAGTCAGGGAGGTGAAACTTRTGAGGGAGACASATCTTTGGGCAGTCAGAAATTGCTCTAAAAAGGAAATGTGAGTGTGCTGTGAATTCATGATCTGCATTCAGACAGCTGAGTTACGAGAGATTTGGGGTTAGAGCGGAACAGTGAGGGGCTTCTGGATTTTGTTGCTTCTCTGGAAACCCTGGGTGATGGGAGCTCTGATCTGGGAGGAGCTGCTGGGTAAATTTGGAAACTGCTGCACTAATCCATGGAACTYGCTTTGGCTTTGTCCTTTCAGGCTGAAGGGAAATTGGAAGAAAATGACACCAACAAAAGACGTCGGAAAGGACTGTTTGGAGTGTTCACAGAGGTTGGTGTTGAGTGGTGCCAGTGTGTGCCACGTGTCCTTGGTGTCCCCAGAGCTGAGGACCTTGGGGGACCAAGGCTTGGCCTTTGGGGCCTGGCAGGAACAAAAATCATCTCCTCTAAAACCTTGAATTTCCTGTGCTGTGCACCAAAGAAGAACTGAGTTAATTTAAATCACTTGGTRGGGGGTAGAGCATTAACTAAATTGCACTAGTTTTTGTTCTGACACGAGAACATTTAAGGTATTGGGTATTTTTTTTCATTTTCCTAACTCAGCTACTTAGATAATGTTGTATTTGAAGAGTTTGCATTGAAGCTTGGTTTTTAGCCCTTCTCTGATGAGTTAYCTTTGTGACTCTGCTTCATGAATAGCAGCACTGATTAATGTTCCCTTTTACTGGACTCKGGGACAAAAGAAAATATTTTGTGGTGACTTTTTGCATACTAAACATGTCATTTTTAGCATACTGTAGACTGTATTTCCTTTCACCCTTTRCTGATAAGGATGTTATCTTTCTCCTCCTCGCTCTTCATGAGTGCTGTAGAAAACCTAAGAAAAACAGAGTTTGTTGCTTCCTTCCAGGCTTCAGGCTTGTCAAGCCAAGGGACAAATATTGGGAAAGAACAGAGTGATGGCAGAGAAGGAACAAACCAGAACAAAGTCAAATCAATGGCAACTCAGCTGCTGGCAAAGTTTGAGGAGAATGCCTCMAATACAATTTTGAAGAGACAGGTAGGTCATAGATAAATGTAAAAGTCATCTCTGAAATGAAACTCTRTTCCCTCCTTGTGAATGTGATGCAGATTTCCAAGGGAAAACAGGGATTTGTTAAGTGTTTGAAGTGGGTTGTGGTTTTTAATACTTTATGTAAATTAGAAATATTTCKCTCTATACTTGGTGAGCAAATACAACTCATGTAGATTGATTTATACATATTAATATAATGTATTATGATCTATTATAATGTCTAGAAATCTCATGTAAGCCAGCCTGTAGAATTTGTGTTATTTGGAAGTCTGGCTGCATATAATATTGCAAAAGGCCTGTTGTTGCCTATATTCTTCAAATAAAGGGCACTGCATATCCTGGGGGTCTTTTTTGTAGMAAATCTAGGAAGGATCAGAAGGGAACATAACCTTTTGGGAGGTATGTCTGGTTGCCATTTCCATCCCATAACTAGGCAGAGTGGAGTGCACTTTTGCATTTTTCAGCATTTTCATGGTCTGTTTCTAGTGTGACTAGATGTGTTTTTAAAATAATCCCATGCYACCAAGGTAGGGATGAGATGAGAAGCTCAAAATCCAGAGCTTTGGCCAGAAATGATTTGGATCTGTCACCTGAGAGATCTGAAGGAAGCACGAGCAAGCTGTTGATGCTTTGACAAAGATGGTGGCTTTCTTAATTCTTTGCCCTTGTATCTATTTGTTTATTGAAATATTTAGGCCCTCCAGTACTGTAGGCTTTATAGATGTCTGGTGACTTTGTCTATTCTTGAACCAAAATTATTTGCACAATACCTGGCTATTGTCACTGCCCTGAGATTTCTGTGTGTGGCAAGTGGCCAGAGATTCACTGAGCAATGCTGAAGGGAGTTTTTCTGATCATAAACTCTGTTCAAAATACTGAATATGTTCAAACYTAAGGATATCTTTGATGGCAGAAGTTGCTCATAAAATGGGTGGATGGCAAATATCTGCAAAACGTGTTTTTAAGCTCCAAATAATGTGTCTTTAAAAGCAGCTTTTATTTCTCTCGGCCTCAAAATTTCTTTGAATCCTATTTACTGTCTTCCTTTTTTTTCCTCTTTCCCTTCACTCTGTCTTTGCAACTTTACAAACGCTTTACAAGGAGCTAACAGATAGACCAGCCCTGCTCTCCTCTGAGCCTGCTGTTAATCCTCGCTTTGCTAAGCCTGCGGATCCAATCCTGCTCCCACCTCAGCCCAAAAGGCAGGTAGGAGCTCCYGTGGGTAACAGCATTTCTCTTTCTGCTGGGAACTCACTGCTATTGCATAAYTACACAGTGCACAAAGCAATATTGGGATGGAATCTGCAGAGTTCACAGATACATTCAGCTCAGAATTGTAAAAACTACATTAAAAGTTTAAAGCTATTTTACACCTGCCTCACCAGATGAGAAAATGATCTGTGAGTGTGGAAATACCCTAAAAACATTGGTGTTGATTTATTTCTGTGTTACCACATCTAGACTCCAAATTGTGTAAATGTAATTACACAGCTGCATTTAACATGTGAGAAACTACAGCAGTACCTGAAACTCTGTGCATGTTCTCGATGCTTTAGGTTGTTGTAATGAAAGGGTAAGAGAGAAACCTGGCAAAAATGTCTAAGATAAAAGCTTGAGCATTGAAAAGCTGATATTGATGACCGTTTTTTTTATTTCTACAAGTAGAATTTGTGATAAGAATTTCTGCTGAAAGCTCTTTAGCAGCATCATWTGTATGGGAAAAAAGTTTTGAAGATGTAATCTAAATTTTTCTCTTAATACCTTCACTCAAAAAGGAATCTCATCTCAAACAGTATTGATACTCATTTTACATCAGAATTTTAAATTGGGGTAAACRTCCTGTAGTGGCATTTCAGGAGCAGGGAAATGAGGTCTGCATTGCATGAGGAAATCTGCAGATCAGAATATTCATATTTTATATGGAAACTCAAAGTCACAGATGAGTTCTGAACTCCTCAGAAAATGCCCTAAATCTGAAATATATTATATCCAGACTTGGTCCAGACTAGATCTGGAACTAWGGCAAGAACTACTGTTGAAACCCTTCTAATTTGATCCTAAGCTTAGTTTCAGGCAGACATGATGCTAAAAAAAAAAGCATCAACCCAAAACTTTGCTCTAAACCCCAGAAGGAGATGCAGTTGTTGTGCACAGATCTGTCTGGGGTTATTCCCAAAGGATTGCCAGGGCCTGCATGAGCTGTGCAGAGCTGATTTATTTGGGTGCATGTGCACAGCACCAGAGGTGCAGTGGTAGATGCAGAGAGTGCTGAGAGAACATTGCATTTCTGGTTATGTGCATGACTGTGTGAGCTTTCAGAAGCATCCTTAAAAGCTGCATATACTGCATGGGAGTGCAGAAAGAAGATTTTTTTTTCACTTCAAGTGTTTCCCAGTTTCAGGTGGTAGCTAGGAGTGAACTCGAGGTCAGGGAACCCCAACAGTCTTTAAATGGTTCTGATCCTATGGCCAGGAGAGCAAAGCCTGTGCGTAAAGCAGAGCCCCAGCCCAGTCTGCCAGAAACCTCTGARAATCTGGCATCTGCTTGTTCAGCTGCATTTGTGCTTTCTGGAGTGCTTGAGCGTCTGCAGCACCTGGAGGAAAAAATGAAACAGGTGACAAGCAACTTCTTTCCTTTCTGTCTCTTAAGTGCATGTGTCATCTGTCTACTGTGCTCTTTGTGGCATTTTCTCTGTTGACTGTAGGTTGTATTAAGACACTGAGAAATCTTTCTACAAACTTCTATGTTCTGTTGGTGGATGTGGTTTTAACTGAAATCTCTCTTTTTCTTTTCTTGGCTGTCCYTCCCTGGCTGTCMCTGCAGAAAAGAGCTCAGACCATAGCAAATAGGGAATTCCATAAAAAGAACATTAAAGAGAAAGCAGCACACCTCGCCTCAATGTTTGGATACATGGAGTTTCCAAAGGTGAATTTTAACTTTTGCACTTGAAGAGCTGCTGAATTGGAAGAYGTATAAGAATTCACAAAGGAAAAAAAAGTTGCAGTGGTTTTGGTTTTAACTTTCTTTCTGTGTGGATCTGAAAAGAAACGTGGATTCCACTGAAACTAGTAACAAGTGTTGTTTAAAAATTATTGCATAATTTAATTGAGGTTAAACACAACCTGAATCATTAATCAGAGTGCTTTAGCAGGAGGGAAGTGTTGAATAAAGTGTGTCTTGTGCTTCAGCACACACTGCTGGCTCACAGTTTCTACTCAGCTGCTGAGCAGTGGGACTCACTGCACTCTGGTTTTTCCTATATTTTATTACACTTTTTTCCAGCACTATCTTACCTTACTGCCCATTGTGAATATTTTTATTTAAAAATTGGTACGATGATATCATTTACCATGAAGATGCCATGATGATTTCCATCTGTCCTTACTGTGCAGCAATAGAGAGAAAAGTAAAACTGTCATTGTTGTCTTTCTGGTGGTTTTGATGCATGACTGTGAACGTAACCTGTGTTTATGTCACTGTCTCTGGCTAACTGTCCTGTTTCTGCTCTACACAGAATAAGCTRCCTACTAAAGGCTTACCCCATTCTCAGCCCCCATCTCCCTCTTGCCCTCCATCTCATCATTCAGCTGTTGCTGCTCCATCATCTGTTGGTTCAGCTTCYTCTGCTGTTTCTTCTCAACAGGTACTCTATTAAGAGATTTTTCATGTAAATCCCAAACTTGTACTCAAGCTGCTTGAGAAATGGCTTGGATGGAAGGTGCTGCCTGCAGACCTGTTGTATAGGTTGTAATTCATATTTAAATCAAACTTTACTTTGTTTGCTGTTAATTCTGCATGTTTGAAAGAGAAATGTCATCATCAAAAATTGCTCAGGTAAAAGCTGAAGAGCAAAGCAAATAGTTAACGTTTTTTCGCTTCAACTCTGAAGATTTTGCATTGCTGCTAATTTTAAATGATCTGCTGTTGAATAATCCCCAGGCATGCTGAAGAAAGCTTCACTGGAAAGCATTGGGTGCTGTGGGGTTGATCACTTGTTCTTGGGTGGCATTTCCATAACAATATCCATCTGGTGTCCAGGGGAAAACCTGCACAATAATGGTTATTTTAACCAGAGGGTGTATATTGGAATTATATGAGCACTTACCAATACAGATGTTTTATTGTTGTTTGTTTATTTGTACTTTAAACTTGCTTCTGCATGTTAATAGCTGCAATACAGTTCTGTGTAAGAGCAGACCTTATGGAGAGGAAACAGAAAGACATGAGATGACATTTGAGTCAGAGATTCTCAGTCCTTACTCCTTAGGCTGCTGTCAGGGGCTCTGTTGAACCGAGGGCCTGGCTCTGCTTCCCAGGGAAATGTGGGGAACAGCCCTCAAGGACACTCAAGCTCAGCAGGGCCTCGCTGCAGTAATCCCCTAATTCCCTTCAGCTTCAAAGGAATTCCTTTGCCTGGATTGACCYCTTACTTTTCATGACCTAAGAGGTATAGCATGTGATGGGTTTTAAGCTAAGTCATGGTTTCCAAAAGATTGGGGGCTGATAATCATTTGATTTGGAGAACTATTGTGGCTGCAAAGAGAATTAAAAAAAAACCAAAAAACAAACCCAAGCCATCTGAAAAGACCTTTAGAAGATGAGAACTTGGCTTTTAAACATAGGGAAACTCTGTGAGCAATAACTTGGTTGTGATTTTAACATCTCTTATTGGAGAACCTTTGTCCAATCTTTTTTTTTTTTTGGGGTATTTTAAAACCTGCATTTTGTTTAAAGTGCACAGACAGCCTTTATTAGTTTGCTGTTGTRTTTGAGTGGTGTGGCAATAGTTTGTTGTGACTTGGTTTCATTCAGGCTGAGTTCACTTCAGTTATAAAATGCTTTCTCTGGAGATAGTGGCAGAATGCAGCTCAGCTGAAGCGAGAAAATCTCGTTCTGTCAGCAGCACAGTAAATACACGTTCCTCTCGTGGGTAAATATTTGGCTGCTGAGCAGGGCTGCATTTACACCTTGGCAGATCTACGTGCAGGAGCATCTTGGTGACTGCAGGCACAGCTCCACAGTTGAGCAGGCTCAGGGCCCCCTTGTGCACTGTGTGCATTTCCTGGGTGGAAATAATGGTGCATTTTGTGGGCATTATATATGGTGCATTTTGTGGGCATTTTGGTGCGTTTTGTGGGCATTTTGGTGAATTTTGTGTGCATTTTGGTGCATTTTGCAATAGCAGGTCTGGTAGTAGCAGATGGTCTTTTACTCCTCCTGCCTGGGGCAGACGTGGTAACATAATCTGTCCATGCTCTTTCATGGACAAATCGTTGTGCCTGGGTTTTATCTGTACAGATTGCACACTTTTCAGAATCTGAAACTTTTATCCTACTCTATAAAACACTGACTGAATGTGCAATGCTATATAAATAAAAATTGAACAGTATTTCAGATGCACACTGTGCATTTTCAAATGCTGTGCGTGATAATTCAGAAATATGTTTGGACCTCTCTGCTGTGAATATGTGCCAGGAATTGCCTGTATCTCTGGTATCTTGAGGGGTTTATAGGTCCCAGAATTTGTATTTTTATCCTSTGTTCTGAGAATTATCACTAGGTAAGTCTAGACTTCAGTATCAGAAAGTGTTTTGGGATTGATAAACCAACAGGAAGAGAGAGCTCCTTTGTGTTGCTGTCAGTGTTTCTGCTTTTTTCCCAGCAGAAAACCAGAAGATAATATAAGTGTTTTGAGTTCTGTAAGACATCATGATGTATGACCTATAAATATTAGCATCTCCCATGGTTTTAAATAGCCAGTGCTGTCATTTTAATTTCAGGTGAGTTCTGAGGTTGTTAGCAGACACGACAATCTGTTGCACTTGTTGAGTTTTCATTGGAACAGTGTTAGTTATGGTGACACAGTTATTGAAAAGGGTGGCTATGAAATCATTCTGGCTCATTACAGACACTTGTTATTAAGTCTAAGTCCTGAAAGGAGCACTTGAAGGCTGTGGGACCGTATTGTTTCTTTCAAGACATGCAGTTATTACATTAATAATTACCTTCTATGTGYAATATTGCCAGGAATAATCCAAAGTACCTTCTAGCTTTCATCAGCTGTCAAAATCCACAGAGCTGGAATTGTGAATCAGCATATATTGTATTACAAGCTGGGCTTTGGTTATTCCTGTTTTTTCTTAAGGCTGGGTTGACCTTCAGGGAACTGTTCATCTGAGCTCTGCAGAGTGAATCCACACTTTGTGCAGTAAAACGGTGAAGTTTTTGCAATCCAAAGGTGAAGTTTTTGCTCCCTGCAGGGCTTGGACCAACTGCTTCCCCTCAGTGACGTGGCTCTGATTGCCACACTAAGCAGGGCTTGGTGTTTGCTACACACAGTAACTTATTACTCAAGKGTTGTTTATCTCAGAGGGAAAATAYACGTAGCAGGTCGTACCAAAAGTAAATAAATCACCCTCAAAGCAAAATAAGAGCAGGAAAATCATTAAGGATACGAAAGAACAAAGGGAAAGCATTGTAGCCTTTGGAGCCAGAGAGCATATTTCCTTTGTTTTATGAGAATGGCACTGAGGCTTACTTGGCTGTGGAGTTGTGAATAATAGCACAGGGAAATGCAGAGGGCAGCTTTCTCTTCCATGTTAACAACCACCCTGCTGAACCTGCTGAGAAGCAGCATGCCACTGGCAGCTCAGCAGGCTGAGGAAATAACAAACACTTGGGGTTTTTTAAGTGTTTTCTGGTTGTATCCTGAAATTCTCCRTGTGAGGGAACTCTTGAAGATTCCTTTTCCACCAAGGCTTTAAAGSTGCAGCTCTGGAGGTGCCTGAGTTGTGAGCAGTGCCTGTTCCATGCAGACAGTGGCACAGAGTTACAGAGCTGGGTGTCACTGCAGGGACAGAGGGGACACTCTCTGRTGGTGGCACAGGCTCCTGGGCTGCCCTGGTGGATCCTCCCTGCTCTGATTGAGGGGCTTTTCATTGATTAAAACATGAYAGTTCTGTTGGGAGRGAYGTGCAAAGCTCTCYTCACCAGTGCAGGCTGACYMAAAGTTAAAGCATGGTYTTAAGGGCATCGTTGCTAAAATAAATTGAAATCCCATTTGCTTTTACTTGGAATGTGAATTCACATTCATTACAAGAACATTTCCTTTTARTAACATTTTCAAAGTATAGATAAACATGCAATTTCCTTGTTTTGACTGTTTTAWTGTTGACATAGATTGTTCCAATGGGTGGAGAACAGGAATCAGCCAACCTGATGAATTTCAAGGTGTAGTTCAGGCTCTGTATTGCAGATAYTGTGGCATTTATATTTTCCTCCTTTCTTCATGGTCACTTTCTGATAYTTTAAAACTTCCCAATTATCAGGACTTGGTGTGGTGCCAGTAGGCAAATMATTTCACTGAGAAGAGGGGGACTTCTTAAAACTGGGGCTCTGTAGGAGGCAAATGGGGTGTAAGATATGATGTCATGCATCCTCAACTCCAGAATCAGATCCCAGATCCCTGGCCAGACCCGGTCCTTGCTGTATTTGGTACCTGAGAGGTTGTAGGATCTTACATTAGACAGAAAGCTAAAAGCCAAATCACTGAAGGAAATCTGATTTACGATAAAAAATATTTCTGTAAATATGTGAAGTCTTTGCAGTCATTTTTTGTAGAAGTACTCACTACMTTCTACCAGTGTCAGGCACACACCTCCTCCTTTTCCACATGGTCCATGCACTCATCGGTCTGTCCACTGTCCATTTGGAGCCTCCTTGCAGGCCTGACTGGTGAATTGGGTTAAAAGCAGCCTCAGCTTCATGGCTGCAGAGTGTGGTGAAGCAGATGAAAGGAGATGTTTCCCTTTCATGAGTGTATTTTCTCCAGTTTTCCCTGGTGTTACCCTGAGTCACTGGGCAGAGGGCCAATGGTTGCCCTGTGACCATCAACAGAACATTTCTGTGTGGGACTCACACATTTTCGTAGAATGTTCCCTGAAATGTCACAGTTTGTGCAGTGTTCATGTGGAGTTTAATCCCACCCCCGTTCTGAAATGTAACAACCAAGTCCCACAGAAACTGAAGTGAACAATAGGGGTTTTTAAATCTGTGTGGATGTGTAGCTCAGAGAGCCGGGCAGTGGCTCCCAGCTCAGCCTTCCAKGGACACAGCAGGAGCAGAATTTGCTCCATCAGGAACTTCTCATCATCCCCAGGGAGAAGTTCATGGGCTGCTCAGAGCCTTGTGTGGCCAAAGCTGGACCGTGCATGAACGTGCTTGTGCTCTGCAAGGCTTCCCTCAGCTCCTCCTGCCTCCCTCTATCGATGTTTGCATGAGTCCAATCATTCTTGTCCTGCTTTGTCTTTAAATTCTCTTTCAAGGGTAACTAAAGCTCTTCCTTCTATTCTTCATCTTCTCCCCTTTCATGATTAGACAACTGTAGGAAAGGTCTCACGTGCCATTGGAGCTGTGGCTGAAGTTCTTGTAAATCTCTATGTGAATGATCACAGGCCCAAGTCACAGCTTGAACTGGTAAGACTAAACCCACAAAGAAACAGTAACTTGACTTAAGAGTAGTGTTTCCAGAATGTCTCCTGACTTAGGAGCCCAGTTGTGGAGCACTTGAAGCCTTATGAAAGGTCTTAATTTTAATCCTTATTAAAGAATCAAGTACACGTTGGCAGAATATGCTGATGTGTGAATGTGTTGGAAATGTTGCTCACCATGTCTTCTATTTATATTTTTATTACTTGACTGTATGAATTAAAACTTCAGGAGGCTTTTATTAAATGTAATTACTGTAGAATTATTAASAGAAGACAATTATAATTCAGGGTGGTTTCTAAAGAAAGTTTTGTGCAGTACATGCAGTTATTTTTGACCCACGAGTGCTGAATCACCACAGCTCCTTTTGAAGAGGGTTATTTCTCATCTCTGACCTTGTTCTGTGTTGAATTCAGAAGCGGTCTCTGGACAGAGCTCCAGGTTCTTGCTCCATTCCTCCCTCTCCATCTGCTGCCTCCACTGCTCACACCCGTCAGGTATTGGGAACCCAGTGAGGTGTTGGATTGTGCTGATGAACCTTCACTTACCAGCACTAAACTCASTTGTTTCAGCTTCTAACTGTTAATACCCTGCTTTTGAAAACACAGCTGTGTGCTTTTCCACTTGCATGGTTGTTCATTTGGAAAGTTTCATGCTCTAAAATATCCATCAGGGCAAAAGGGATTGCTAAGGGCAGATTTGGAATAGGATCCTCGACTTTTAAGCATTATTCAATGTGACAATGATAACTGTGCATTCTACCTGATGTTAAAGATGGTTCCAAGGCTGCCTTTTGCTGCAGATTGAAGATGAGCTCTGTRGAGTGTGTGCTGCTGTGTGAATGTGCTTTTTGCCTCCTCCACCCACGTGTGGTACCTGTTTGTGGCAGCAGGGATGGTGGGAGGGGAGGGAGGGGATGGATGGGCAGACACAGCACTCATCTGGACCAGCATCTAACCACCCATAACACARTAATGCAAAGTCACGTCCTCAGACCTGCCTCTAATAAGCAAATGCAAGTTCTGTGGTGTCTAATCCACTTTTCTGTACCTTCTGCATGTGTATCTAAGAGAGGATTAAAGAATGGTAATTACCAGCCTAATTTCAACTAACTTTCAAAATAGTTTGAAGTTGTTAATATGGATTGTATTTTTGAAGTCTAATGTGTTAAAAATGTTCTGAATGTCAGTGGTAGGAAACAAACTGGTTTTTAAAGCTAATGAAGCCCCAGCTTGGGCTGTGGTCTTGAGAGGAACGTGGCTGAGAGGGGAGAGGTGTCTGCAGTGATGGGAGGGTGGGTCAGACAGCAGTGTTGAAGACTGTCTGCTTTTCCTCCTGAACCTGAAAGCACCAGGCTGTGTTTTCCTCCAGAGTATGTCTGAACTGAGGCTCGAGGGTGTGTGTTTGAGGCTGGGGAGATGTGCCCTCACTCCTGAGAGACACAAATCCCTGAGCCAGGGCGGTGCAGGAAATGAGGGAGTGCTTGGGGATGGTGCTGCTCTTGGRCCTCARTCAAAATGTTGGTGATCTCCAGAGRGAAACTGGGTGCAAGTCCAGCCTAAGGTCACCCCTCAAAGTCCTTGTGATGTTCTGATTTATTAATTGCTGCATAAACCTCTAGAACTGCAATAATGAGTAATAAAAAAAGCTGTCTGATACTTATTGTAATTGTGCTTGGAGGGTGCTGTGCAATGCTTTGAGCAGCTAAAGCAGCTCCCCCCTTCATAAGGATTTCTGTCTGGGTGTGGAGCCCCAGATTTATGTTCTGTTCTTATCTTTTAACAGGGTTCTCTGCGAAAAGAATTCCCCAAGTCCATCGGGGGCAGTGACATTTGTTATTTCTGCAAGAAACGGGTCTATGTCATGGAGCGGCTGAGTGCAGAAGGTCACTTCTTCCACAGGGAGTGCTTCAAGTGTGAAATCTGCTCCACAACACTCCGCTTAGGAATTTATGCCTTTGATGTGGAGGAAGGTAAGAGTTTAAGAGTATTTTGAAATGTCTGAGTATTGGTGCTTTGAGCAGAACTAGCACGGTCAGGAGCAGGTCTGCCAAGTGTGCTGTTTGTGTCCATGCTGATCTTGGAGTCCTTGGACTTGCAGTCCTTGCCTTCAAAAGAGTTGAACTATGACAGGCCTGAGCTTTACATGAAGAAATCTGGAATGGAAAATTAGTTGAGTGACCAAAATGCACTTTGTCCAATCACAGGTCAAAGTAAGAGGGGGAAAAAGGGGTGAGTTTTCTCTGGTTATACAGAATTATTCTTATCTCTCATTTTAAACTGACCATTAAATAATGTGATGTCKAAGGACAAGCCATAACAGTGGCAGATTTACATGGGTGGAGGGAGTACAGGTTGCTTCTTTTAAGATGTTATGGTCAGGAGTTGAAAGCAGTAGGACTGGCCAAATACAGTGTAATTTATTCCAGGCCTCCAGGCTGCTGTAGAACAAAATGTTCAGATCTTGGGTGTTCAATCCCACCTAGAGCCTGTGGTTTGCCTTTTTTTTTAAAAAAAGTTTGGAATGGAATGATCAAACTGAATTGAAATTCCCTTGGTGCTTCCAAATTATTTGAGTTGATCAGAGCATTAACCTGCTGTCCCTCTGCAAAAGGATTAAAGATCTGAGGTCAAAGTGGTTCTTTTCTGGTGTGGAGAATCTGCAAAGACATCTTTTTGAGCTGATTATTTGACTTTTTGTTTTATTCTGCTTGATGTCTTGTGTTGGTTTGTGACTTTATATTTATGGGATGTTGGGTTTTTGCTGTTTAATAATCTCATACCTGAGTGGCAGATAAATGACTGTGTTATTGATCTAATACACACATCTGTATAAGAAACCTAATTTAGGTTAGGTTAATCAGAATGCCAAGTTAACCAGTGCCAAGTTTCCCATTCCTTTTGCTGCCCAACCATTCATTATCCTGGTTTCATTTGTTTGTAGRTGCAACAGTGATTTTTCAGTCCATATACATTTAGATAACATGTCCTGTAACTATTTTTCCTTCTTGTAGGTAAATTTTACTGTAAACCTCATTTTACGCACTGCAAAATCAGTACAAAACACAGRAAGAGAAGAGCAACAATACAGGTCCATGGAAAGGTATGGATGGATTCTATTGCTAATGAGTGTTGAGGCAGCTTTGTCTGGTGTGGGGGGATGTTTTGTAATTAATGGGCAGCAAAATCAGTGCTAAAATACAAACCTCTTGGTTCTGTGAGTGTGGTGTATTTATAGTCTGGTTCTCAATGGATTTTAGCTTTTCCTRTGCAAAGTAAAGTTGAACTTAAGAGCGACTGGAAATGAAAAAGCGTATAAAGATTTGAAGACAGTAGCAGAAATGAGACYTACATCCTTTAGATGCATATTTAACTTGTTTTTTTTTAATGTTTTCTAAGGAGGCGTTAGAAGCATGGAAGCAAGTGGAAGGCAGAGGCAGAGAGAGCAGCAGAGCAAGGCCTGTGTGTGGTGCTGGCAGTGCAGAGGACAGGTCCCCAGGTACCCCGAGTTCYCTCTTTGGGGCGGCGCTGTGGCCCCTGCGCGTGGCGCGGCAGCTCCGCGCTGTCCCCAGCAGCCTGGCTCACTGGATGCATGGTGTCCTGCACGCTGCCCAGCTCCATTTCAGGGACAATGCCTATAACTATACCTACCTGTACGAGCTGCTCAGCTTTGGGGTGCCGCTCCTCTGTGCTCTCCTGGAGGTTCTCCTGCACATGTACCGGGAAGCAGAGCTCTCCCTTGAACACGGGCTTGAATGGCTGAAAAGGTTCTGTAGGGTGTGAATCCTTCCATGTGTCTTGCTCAGCGATGCCTTTCACATTTTCAGAATTAACAGCCTGGTTATTTTCCCAAGGGGGATTTTTGGTTTGGAGGGCTCTGGTTTTGCTTTTCATGCAATTTCATGCATGACTTGGTTGAATGGTGGATTCCTTCTAATACAAACGAGGTACAATTGACATTTTCAACAYAGAATGTACTGTATGTCAGAGCATGAAGGACAGTGTCCAAACACATTTCCACACCATGGAGACAGATGAAGGATATTTTGTAGATTATTTTCCCCCGTTTTATTCCATGATCAGACCGTTGGAGAAGATGGTACATTTTGAAACCATTTTTCTCCCTGCCTACTGTCCCCAGCTTTTTTATTTTCCCTTTTTTTTCAGTTAGACCAAGAAAGAATGTGTTTTCTTTCAGGGATTTTTTCTGACAAATGACTGGGTTTTCAAACCTGAGTATGGCACGTAGCTTTTTGAAAAAATTTCTTGCTTTCATCTTTGCTCTGGGTTATGAGGTTTATAACTTGCATGAATATGTTTTTTTAAAAATCATGTACATCATTGACATTGCTCCTGGTCATGCCTTTAGCATTGCTTACATGTGATGGATACCTCTTGTTGATAGTGGGTATTAGCTGTTCTACTAATTTATTTAAAGATTTCAAATAAATTTGAAGAGCCAATGTTAGTTGATGAAGGCTTGATAGAAATTTGAAGTCGAAGAAACAGGTAGAAAGAACTAGACCTGACACTCCTTGAGTGAAGGCTTCCTCATTTGGTGGCTGATAGGAGGAATATCAATTTATGGAGCACTCCTGTAACTGAAGTTGTGCCTCTGGGCAGGCACTGCTCCCAGTGCATTTTGGAATGTTTGAAAAATACAAGTTTAGGACAAACATGAAAAAAACTATAAATGTATTCTTAGGAGTTTACTTCTTACATGGGTAATTAATTTTACTGTGTGTAGCTGGTGGCAGAAAGGGGAAATCTGGAGCAGCAGATAAGTAATTTTTTTCAGATGTCTCTCATCAAGGGCTACCCTAATCAGAAGGTGTCTGAACAGGTTCAATAATCGTTTAGCATTAAGGACACCCTGGCATCCCARTTCTGATTCTTTTCAGCCCAGTTAGCCCATGAGGTAAGCATGCTCCCTTGCCTTTCAAGTACCTGTATACATCCAGAATTTACCAGGAAATAGGTAAATACCTAAACATGGCAATATGTGTAGCCTAAAGAAAAGCATCTGTAGCATTTATTTGTAGCCAAAAGAAGGTGGCATAAAGAATAGGAAATAGTCTTGCATTCAGTTAGTACCAAAATTGAGAATCACCTTCCAGTGGTCTCAAATGACTSTGCTGCTTATGGCCTGGCAGGAATTTTGTTTTGTTTAATATATTGTGGGAAAAGATGGTCTGAATTGTTTTGCCTCTTAGGTATGAAAAGGAAATGTGTCTGCTGTTTAAAATAAATKACAAACTGGATCTTTCTTGTAGATAGTATGACTTCCTTTAAAYTATGAGGATGAGCTTTTCACCTTTTAGAGTGGTTATGTATTTTGAGGAAAAAGATGTTAATTATATGCACAGAAATTGAAAAAGTGCTTGAAGAAAATGGTTAGATATAAGGTAGCATTCCTTTGAAATAAATTGACATTAATGCTCAAACATGTATTCAGCCTAATTTTGCTMCAACATTGACTGCACACAGCAATGATTATAGTGACATGGTGGGCACCTGTATGTGTGTAATTTATCTGTACCTTTCTTGCAACATTTAAAAAACCTGCTTTGAAACACTGTATTATTTTTAATGATTTGCTGATGACCACAACTGTTTCACCCTAAAGAGGAGGCAATCTGGAGCCCAATTTGCCATGTTACTCCTGCAACACTCTTTCAAAAGTCTCAAAACATTGGGCAAGTTTCAAAATTTGGGCTGCCATCAATTCTGATTTCAGTTTGTCCATAGGGGAGTCTTTAGGAACACTTGCTCCTAAAGCTTTTTCCTGCTGTTTATTACAGTGGAGTGAGCATAATTGTCAATTTAGAGGAAATGGTGATGTAGTAAGAAACTTGGAAACTTCTGGCCAATGAACTTAAAGTAAATGAATCTTACTAGCAGAAAGTTTAAAAATAAGATTTTACTTTTTRAGAAAAAACTAAAATACATATTGGTTTTATGTAGATTTAGCTAATGGAGCATAAAATCCCTACATTTCCAAACAGAATTCAGGAACTTGCATAATGAAAATGTTTTCTGAGGAATCTTAATTACTGTGCATATTCCACTGGGATTTTGATTCTGTTTGTGGGTTATTTTATTGGTGTCACTCCAATTGATAGATTCTTCATCTTATTATTCTGCTAGTAATATTCATATGTACTTGTCCTTATGGATAAYTGAATGAAAAAGGCAGTTTGATTTTGGCCAGTTCTTTGTACCTGTGTAATCTTTCCGATGCTTTCCTACATAACCAAGTGAAGTTCTGTGTTTTCTTCCCTGCTGTCTCCTCTGCCAATCTCCCTCATTGCTTTTAGTCCARTTCAACATTCCGGTGCTGCACCCGCTCACTGGCTGAAGCCTTTCTGCTCTCAGGTGATTTTTTTTTCCAGTTCCAAAATTACGTGACTAACCCTGTTGTTTCACAGCATTTCATTGTGTGTTTTGAGGTTTTGTTTTAACTGTTGGAGCAATCTGTGTGTCTGGTATATTAATGGAGCTTTGGCATGATCGTTGAAGCTGTTGCTGAGTTCACAGTTGTGGAAAAGGTGTTGTCTGTGCTYTTTGTAAGGAATGTTTTCCTCTCTGTGTCTGTGCATGTGCGCTTCCCTGTGCCTTTAAGGTAAGTTAGGCAAGTCCAGGGTTTCTTTAAAAATTAGTTCAAGCCTTATTTCTTCCAAAGAACTGAAGGAAAGATTAMAAATGAGGTCAGGGTGTGATTACCCCAATGATTCTCCTGGTTAACACGAGCACCTCTTTCCATTGAGCTCAAACACGCAAAGAGCAAGAAATGTGAGCACTYCCCTGCTTTCCTACTGGAAAAGTATGGCAAGAAAAGGTTCTGTAGAAAAAGTAGCCAAAGCGATGCAAATTCCAGTCTTCCACTCCAAAGTGACATCGTAGGCAGGCCTGAAAGTGCATGTGGCTCTCAGGCTGAAATACAAACATGCCAAATTCCAGAATGTTTTGGTTTTATTTACCATCCTGGAGAATGGGTTTGTCACGTTGCACACGATGCTGCAACCCCACTCTATRCCCAACTTGCACCATTATTTTGTATTATTTTTTACAGTATTTTTTACATAAGTTCCAGTTTGTATAATCACAGGGTGCCAGTCTAGAAGGGGAAATGAATCCCAACAAGAATCAGGCTGCCCAGCAAGTGCACTGAGGGTGATGGATCACAACCCTGCTGCCCCAGGCAAGGATCCCTTTCAAAGGGAACTGATCTCAGGAGCAGCTTTAGGAAGGGCCCAACATCCTCTGCATTTGGCCCATTTGGCACAGCTCAGGCAGGGATGTGGAAGGCAGCAGGGTCAGAGCCCTGTGCTCCTTATCTGGCTGCTCTGGAGGCTGCCAGGACTCACCCAATTGTATTTATTTGTGTGGCTATCCTGAAATGACTTGATGGCTCTGGAAGTGCCCACACAGAATCTCTGCATTTCAGCACCACTTCCTGCACAATTGGCTGGGATGTGACTCCCCATGGATTTCAGGGCTGCAGTGTGKTGTTACAAAGCTCAGCATGCTTTAAGATGAAGGTCATGACATAAAGGTCTGCCATTTCAAACCTCTTCCTTTTGCTGTGTTTTTTACTCTCTGTTGCAGACTCTTCCTTGCCCTTCCTGCTCAGTGAGGATTCTGTCCTTCTCCTAAATCTTCTGTCTTCATTTTACTTTATAATCTTAACTGAATATTTTTATTAAATAGTTTTTAATTCTGTATTTAAATTTTCACATGGAAATTCTGTATTTTGCACACGGTGAAAATTGTTTTAGCTTTATTTATGATATCTGCTGTAAACAAAAAATAAATGTAGTTCTTTATAAGTCTCCTTGTTTCATCTCTTCCTTTTATAAAATTTTCCTGGGTACAGAGACTTGGCAGTGACTTCAGGCTGCAAATTCCTCTTGTGGTGGATGCTGTGGTGTTGTCCTGCTTGTGAGCTGAGAGTTTCCTGTGCTGGTGTCACCACGTGTGTCCTTTGGAAGGGATGCACACCAGGGCTGTGACAATTGTGCCATGGCTGCAGATCCGAGTGCTGGTGCTGGGATTTGCCTCCCTGGGAATGAGGAGCTGCTCTTGGTGGGCACAGGGGTTGCTTTATTGCACACACAAACAGCACTTGKCCTCTTCTCTTGGGCTTCTGGTACCTTCCCTTAACTTGTTATTTCACATATTAACGTATGTCATAAATGTGATAAGTTAATGTGTTTGCATTCTCTATTGTGTTCAGGAAGAGCAGATAATAACCCAGGATAAATCTTTACTGCTCTTGCTGGACCCCTGGAAGCTGCAGCTCACAATGACCTATTACCTTTAACAGTTTTTTTCATTATTATTTATTTACAGTTGCCTTGCTTTATTTAATTTTTTATGTTAATTTTTGTATTTTAAGCTGGTAGTGGCATTCTTTTTAAACAGCAAGTTCTCCAAAAGAGCTTTCCTRAATCTTTCTCCTCTTTATTTTCTTTCTTTCGCTTACTCTGCAATTCTTAA